ACATATGTGCAAAGTTTAGAAAACAAATTTACAAAAAACCTTGCATTTCTACAAATTTTTTATTGTCTATTTAATTGTATTTCAATTATTTATAAGAGATTTTTACTTTTTCAGCAAGCCCTAATTATTAACCATAATATCAAATTTTTTTGACTAAAAAATAAAATCAAATTGGCATAATTTTAATAAATAAAATTGAGATTTACTTTATATCAAAATTAAAAAGCAAATACATTATTTTTAATTTGAAAGTCCACAACAATTTCCTGAAAAATAAAATAAAATTGATTATTGACTCATTAATACTTTAAAATAAAAAATGAATTGGTGATAATTATTGAATCCGCCACATAAAATCTGCCAAACTATCTAAAATGATAAAATCCTCTTAAAAGAAAATCATTCCCTTGTTCTGATGCCATATTTAAAACGCCTACTTCACAAAGCGCATCAATTCTTTTAGATAAATCTTCATCAGATCTATATTTGCCAACGTGCAAATCAAATAAGTAAATATTATCTATTGCATTCTTTATTACTATTTTTAAATCTAAAAAATCTTTAGAATTTATATCAATGTCTTTAATATAGTTTTCAAGACGAGCTCCTCTTCTATATTCTGGAAAATTTTCTAAACCCATAAATAAGAGCATCCAATCTTTGTTAAAATAACCTATTGCCTTAACAAGACCAACATAATCTGCAATTAGTTCGTCGTGCAAGTTATTGGAAGCAATCCCAAATTTATTTAGCGTATATAAATGGGCACATTCATGCTCCAATCTTATATTATAAGAAATATCAAGCCATTCATCTTCATTCAAATCAACCAATACGTGCTTTATGCCACTATATTTTTTTTTGCTTAATACAATTAGTTTGTCTTTATAAAGATTAGAATTCGGTAAAATATTATTTTTAAACTCATCATTCCATGTAATAGAATAATTATGTAATTGCCAATTCTTTTTTAATAGATTAATTTTTTGCCAATTATTTATTCCATTAATCATACTTGCACCCATTGATGAGGGTATTTTGGTAGAATTATTTTTGTAAAGAAGAGCTTGAATAATTTTAACAAAATCATTTTCATCAGAAACAGTTATTACTGGAATACTGCCTGAAAAGCTTTTGTAGAATAATATATTAATACCATTTTCATCGTTAAGCTCTAAGTTATTTTGACTTAAATCTCTAATATCATATTTCCCTTTTAATGTTGCTTCTTTGTACAATTGTGATTGTTGAATTTCATCATTAATTGGGAAATTTAATTGCGGGAAACATTGCTTAAGGAAATAGAATGGTTCTTCTTTTAAATTTTTTAAAGAATCTTCCCAAAATGAATTTTCATAATTTTCTTTATCTAATTTATTTTGCTTAGCCAAAGCAAAATTATTTTTAAAATATGATTTTAAAGTATCGGATATATAATCAAATTCTCCCATAAAATCCTATAAACATTAAGCAATTTGCCTTTTAGCCAAAGTTGAGAACAAACCATCTAACTTCATTAATTCATCATATGTGCCAGTTTCAACAATTTGACCTTTATCCATTACATAAATTCTATCAGCATTTTTTATTGTGCTTAATCTATGAGCAATTACAATTCTAGTAGCTTGAAGTTTTTCTAAGCTTTCTGAAACAATATTTTGAGTTCTATTATCAAGCGCACTTGTAGCTTCATCCATAAATAATAAACGTGGCTTATGTACTATAGCTCTTGCAATCATTAATCTCTGTTTTTGTCCTCCAGAAAACGTTCCTGCTCCCTCACTCACAACTGTATGCATTTCCATTGGCATGTGTTTTATATCCTCATCCATTCCTGCCATTCTTGCTGCTTCCCAAGCATCATCAAGTGTTAATTCAGAATTTCCCACAATGTTTTGATATATACTTCCAGACATGAGAGAACCATTTTGTAAAACAACTCCTATTTGCCTTCTCACTAATTCTTTATTCATTGAATCAAATGATTCTCCATCATAAAAAATAGAACCAGACTCTGCTTGCTCAAAGCCTAAAAGAAGCCTCATAATGGTTGACTTACCTGAGCCAGATGCTCCAACAAACGCAATCATTTCTCCTTGTTTTATTTTGAAGCTAATATTATTTAGAATTAGTGGTTGATCAGGAATGTATCTAAAAGAAATAGAGTTCATTTCAATTTCTCCTGCTAATTCTCCTGGATCCGTGCTTTCTTCTTTAGATTCAGGCTCTGCTTCTAATACTGGCTTAACTCTTTCATATAAAGGAATTACATTCAAAGAGGTAATTACTGCCATACTTAATCTTAAACTATCATTCAAAAATTTATTAAAAGCAGTAATAAAAGCCATAAAGGCTCCAACGCTTATCATCGATGTTGTGCCATCAGAATTCAAAACCACATAATATATAAAAGAGAAAAATATAATACTTGTTAAAAGAGGATATGAGCTATTAAATGTTTCTACAAAATTTTGATAACTACCTGAATTAAAACCCAATCTTTTTAATTTTGTGAATTTTTCTGCCCATAAATTAAAAACTCTTTTTTCTCCACCTGAAATCCTAATTTTTGAAATTCCAGATAAGAATTCAAATAAAAATCCTTGTAATTCTCCCTGTTTTTCGGAAATTTGCCTATCATACTTCAACTTTGACAACCCAATTGCTATCATAAATGTAGCAGCGATAAACCCCAATAGTATTCCTACCCATGCTAATTTTGAATCATAATAAAATAATAATGTAAGATTAACAAAAGAAAATGCACCACTTAATACCGCTGTTATTAATGTGTTTGACAAAATCTGTCTGATTGAATTAATGCTCAAAACTCTATTAGTTAAATCTCCGGCACTATAATTTTTATAGAATGTAACGGGTAATCTTAAGATATAATCCATTACACCCGCTTGAAGGTTAATGCTTGATTTAGATTCTACCCTAAGTTGGAGAATACCCTGTACAAGTTGAAGCCCCGCTATAACAACTCCTGTTATAATCATAATAGTAAAAATCTCAATATGTAAACCCCTATCTGCGGTTGGTATCACATCGTCAAACATTACACCAGATAAAACAGGAACTAAAAGACCAACCAAACTACCAATAAAAGCAGCTAAAATCAAAAGTTTTGTGTCAATCTTTAAACCTTTCATCGCAAAAGATAAAACTTTTTTAATTGAAGTCATTTTTGTATCAAAACCAGGCAAAAACATATATCCTATTGGTTCTAAACTCTGTTCAATGTCGCTATCAACTTTAATAACTTCTCCTGTCGTTAAATTTTCTAAATAATATACATTCGACTTTTTTTGTATTAGTGCAACAGGAGCATTTTTATTTTTTGTAAATGCTAATAAATGACCGTTCTCTTCTTTCCACCAAGTCCCCCTCAATATGATTTTCCTAATTCTTATATTTGAACTTTTAGCAATAGCATTTAACTGATTTGTGATATTTGTTTGATAAGAATCAATATGCTTGGGTTCTTCAATCTTAAATCCCGTATATTTTCCTAATAATTGACACGTATTAAAAAGTAAATTTCCTTTTTTATTGTATGATAGATTATCTTTAAACGATTCATTATCTGCTCCATTAACAATGACACTAATTTCCTTTAAAGTGTTTTCAAGTAGTTTGTCATCATTTGTGCTTCTTTCTTCATAATACTTTTTGTCTTCTAATTGATATAAATGAATGTTTTTATTTAGGAGATTATAAAAATATTCTTGAATCCTGTCGATTGACAACAAAAAATTAATTTCATCTTCAAGAACATCCCTCATACTAATTATTTTTATTTCTGTACCATTTTCTAAAGCCTTTAACCATAAATTATTAGAAACAGGAACTGGAGAAAGGAACTCATCTTCCGATGTCAATTCTATATCCTCGGAATATATCTTTATTTTCCCTTTTAAAAGTTGAATCCAGCTCAAACCACTTGAAGGGAAAGCTATTTCTCCTTTACTAAGGATAATTTCATTAAACTGGTCTAATGCCGTGTAAACTCTTGGAACGCTTTGATAATGTTGTGAATCCACTAATTTTGTGATCCATTTGTTTATCATATTCTTCAAAAACAAATGATCTATGTTTGCAATTTCGTTCTTATCAATAGGTAGTAAGGCCGCTCCCGAAGAATAGACTATTAATCTTGTTTTCTCACTATTCCCATTTTTTAAAAGACTAAAAAGTAAATCTCCTTTTTTTGCAGTAAAAAGATGTTTAAGCGAAAATAAATAATTCCCATCATCATCAATTTGAGTATAAAAAACATTTACCTCACCACTTATAACCATCCAAACCCTATCTGTAGCTTCAAGTATAAAAGGATTTTGAACATCTACACTTATTTTATTATTTTTAGACATACCTCTAGAGTGTTATTTAGTTTCTATTAATTTTGAATAAACTCCATTAAGTTTAATTAATTCTGAATGAGTGCCCCTTTCAACTATTTTGCCAAATTCCATCACAATAATTTCATCACAGTCTTTAATTGTACTTAATCTATGTGCAACAATAAGACATGTACATCCTCTTTTTTTTATGTTATCCATTACCTTTTTCTCAGTTGTTGGATCAAGGGCACTTGTAGCTTCATCCATTATAAGAATAGAAGGATTATTTGCTAGGGCTCGGGCTATTTCCAATCTTTGTCTTTGCCCACCACTAAAATTTGCCCCACCCTCTTTTACTTCACTATCGTAAGCATCAAGCCTTGAAGCTATTACATCATGAATATCAGCATCTTTTGCAGAGTTTACTATGCTTTTTTCGGATATCATGTTGTCCCAAAATGAAATATTTTCACTTATTGTACCATTAAAAACAAGAACCTCTTGATCTATTACCGCAAGTGAACTTGTCATAATGTTTCTATGAATATTCTTCCTAATTATTCCGTCAAATAAAACTTCTCCTTCCCACGGTTCATATAACCCTGATGCAATTTTGGCAACAGTTGATTTTCCGCTACCCGAACCTCCAACCAAAGCCACTCTGCTTCCTGGTTTAAGGCTCAAATTAAAATTTTCAATAAGAGGTGACATTGTTGTATTATATCCAAATGTTATATTTTTCATTTGAAAATATCCAACCAATTTTTTTTCGTCAAATTTATTATCACTTAAAAGGTCTTTTTCCCCTTCTTGAAATTGGGTATCAACCTCATAATTCATAACATCATCTATTCTTGCCATATCACTCTCTGTTTCATTAAGCGTATTCCCAACTGAAACAAGCTGATTTACAGGATTTAAAAAATTGCTCATTAAAAATGTAAAAGCAACAAGAGTTCCTAAAGTCATCTCTCCATCCATTATTCTTAAAGCACCAATTCCCAGTATAAAACTTGATGTTAGTGAAGTTAATAATGGAGGGATAGAGTTTAATTTTATACTTAGCCAACCCAATTCTTGCTGAGCATTGGTAACTTTTGCGAGGTAACCAACCCAATTTGTAAAAAAATCATTCTCTCTACCTGAAGCTTTTAAAGTTTCAATCATGCTTATTCCAGAAGTTGTGGTTCCCAAAAGCTTTCCAGTCTCATTTGTAAGCCTTCTATTGCCATCTTTTCTTAACCTTGATGAATATCTTAAAATAAAAATATTTATTAAAGACATAAATATGCCAATCAATGTAAGATATACATCATAAGAAAACATGAGTACGGCGTAAAAAATAACTACTATTACGTTTAGAGCTGCATTTGCAAGATCCCCACTCAATAGACTAGCAACTTTATCATTAAGTGTCACCCGATTTCCAATTTCACCACTATACCTTTGTGTAAAAAAAGATATCGGCAGATGAAAAACATGCCATAAGAATTTACTAGATGAAACTAATGCTAATTTTGTTTCTAATTTCAGCAAATAATATTGTTGCAAATACACAAGTACTGCATTTATAATGAGAACTATACCCATAATCAGGAGTAATGGCATAACAAATCCTGTAAAATTATTAACTAAATATTTGTCAATAAAAATTTCTAAAAACGAAGGTATTACCAGACCTGGAATAACTAAAAAAAGGCTTGCAATTATTATATAAAAAATACTCATTTTAGAACTTGTAATTCTGGAACTGAGTGAAGATATAAGTCCTCTTTTTTCATTTCCTTTTACAAAACTTTCAGAAGGACTAAAAGTTAATACAACACCTGTATATGATTCGTCAAATTCTTCATGAGTAACTTGATATCGTCCTTGTGCAGGGTCACTCAAAAAAACTTTTTTTTGGGTAAATCCTTCTAATACTAGAAAGTGGTTGAAATTCCAAAAGATAATTGCGGGAGTATTTATTTGCATTAGTTTTTCAATAGATTTGGCATATCCTTTTGCTTCTAAACCAAATTCTTTTGCAGCTTTAATAATATTTGTTGCTTTTAAACCATCTCTCGATACTCCACACGCTATCCTTAATTTTTCTAGTGGTACAAATTTTCCAAAATATCCTAATATAATACTCAAAGCCGCTGCGCCACATTCAACACTTTCCATCTGTAATACAGTCGGAACTTTTACTGGTCGAGCTTGCTTATTTATTTCGAAATTTGTTATACTTTTCATATTAGGTTAATTTAGTATAGATCAAAAAATTTCTTAAATGCTGGAACTACAATTGTCACTGGCCTTTCCTGATTTATTGTAATTTTTCCCATACATGATGTTCCTTCCTTAATTGTTATATCAGGTCCTTTTGCAGAGGTCCATTTAAACCCGCTAAAAGAATTCGGATCTTTTTCAAAATCAACATGAACTTCAAATAATGGCCCCATAGCCAAAAGCTCTTTAGCTAATTGGTCATTTTTTACTGATGTCAACATTCCTTGTTGAGTTATAGGAAAATCAGAAACATAAGTAATTTTGCCTTTAATGAATCCATATTCTTGTGGTTGAACGGTAGAAGGAGCTACTAAAGCCTCCATGCCTTTTTTTATTTTTTTTCCATCTTTAGAGGGGATGTAGAGAATGCTTGTTATTCTCTTCCCAATATCATTTTGATTTTTCAATTTGAATAATGGAGTCCCCATATTTACCATAATACCTCTGTCAGTCAAAACTTCAACTACGTCGCCATCATAAGGACTTCTAATATTTTTTTGATTATCAAATCTTTCAGTTAAAAACTGTAGATTTCTCTGAGCTTCTGCAATTCTCTGATTCTGTAAAGTAACTTTTTGTTGCAAATCAAAATTCACATTATTTGCTTGACTTGAGGTCTGTACCATTTGACTTTTCAATCTTTCAATTGAGTTTTTTGAAGCATCAATCAATTGTTTTGTATTAGCAACTTGAGATTTAATAATTAAACCTTTATTCAACAATCCGTTTTCAGATTCTAACTGATTGTATAAAAATGCTAATTTCTTATTTTCAGAATCTATTTCTCCTTGTATACTTTTGCGGGTTTGTGATATAAATTCATCTTGAATCTGTGTTCCTTGCCCTCCAAATGACAATAGCTTTCCCATTTCATATTTTCTATCATTTAATATTGATTTAGCATCTTCAATTTGCCTAGACAATTCTGGTTGTTCTAATGTTGCTATTATTTCTCCTTTGCTAACATGACTACCAATTTTAACATTTAAATCAACCAATTGTCCTTGAGACGTTGCTACAACTTCATGTACTTCACCGCCCTGAATAACACCTGTCACATCTAATTTTGTTTTTACTTTTCCAAAAATTGACCAAATTAAAGCAGTACCTATTGCAAATGCAATAGTTAGTAGTGCGATCCATGCTTTTCTATCGGTTACTTTTATTAATTGATCTAATTTTTCTGGTGTTGAAAGCTTTTCTAATGCTGACTTTCTAAAGAAACCTGCTGACATAATTTCTGTTTTTTATTGTGGAATACTATAATAATTATCTTTATTAACTAAAAACCCATTAGAACTATTAATAATTAATGTCCCTGTTTCATGTCTTAAATTAATAATAGAAATGGCAAAATTTTGTTGTGCACCAAGATAATCTAACTCTGATGAGGTCAATCTTTCCTGTAGTATGATAACATTTAATAATGTAGTCAAACCCGTTTTAAATTTCAATTGCTCATTGCTAAATGTCTCACGAGAATACTCTAAAGCTTGTTTTGATTGCTCAAGCGCCAAAACACTATTTTCTAAATTATTTACTGCAATGTTTATATTTAAATTAATATTTCTTTTAAGATTTTCATTTGTAATAACCTGGTCTGATAAATTAATTTTATTTTTTTCTAAACTACCCTTTGCATAATTATTATTAATAGGTAATGAAAGTGTAAGTTTTGCTCCATAACCCAAATATTTTCCTTCATTTTTAAACATCGAGTTTAACTGAAATGGAATACCATTCCCCTGACTGCTATTACCATAGAAGCCAAAGCCTGATAGATCCAGTTGGGGCTTCATATTATTTTCAGCTAGTTTTTGATATAGTTCCAATGCCTTTGTTGTTTTTTGGGAAGCTAATAAATCTTTCCTATTATTTAAAGCCAATTGCAGGAATTTTTCTTTATCCAAATTTTTTGAGTAACCCGAATTAGTAATTGTAGGAAACTCATCCTTTGGATCTTCTATTAATTCGGATTCAGACTCAGAAAGTCCAATATTTCTTCCTAACTCCAATTTAGAGTTATGATAATTTTGTTCAGCCAAAATGACAAGTTTTCTTTGATTGGCTAAATCAGCCTTTATTTGAGATAAGTCTCCAGCAGGCTTTTTATCTGCTTTAACCAGCTCTTCTGTCATCAAAAGAACATTTCCAACGCGTTCTTCATTTGCTTTATAAACACCCAAACTTTTAAAAGCAGTATAATAATTCCAATATGAATATATAATCTGTTGAATTTGAATGGAGGTTGTAAATTCATTACCTATTGTTGTAGATTCAATATAAAGTTTCGAAGCATTCTCATTTAATGTTGCAACTGATCTACCCCTACCTTTAAGTAATGGCTGGGTAATAGAAAAATTAAAAGTCCCAGTATAATCTCCCCTATATGCTGGTATTGACTGGCTAAAACTATTAAATGGCAAATTGTTATTATTGAAACTGTATTGAAAACCGAAATCAACAGTTTGCCCACTTCTGAACCTTTTTTGTATTGAGGGAGAAAAATCCCAACTATTAGAATTTAATATTTTATCAATAACTTGATTTCTTGGGTCTGTTGAAAAAAGATGATAATCAGTTATTTGATAAGTAAGATTAGAAAAAAGATTATAATCAAAAATACTTTTTTGAATTTGGAAATCGGCTTCAGCACTTTTTATAGCATAAGCACTTTTTTTTAATACTGGATTTTTTTGAAATGCAATTTTAGATAATTCAATCAAGTCAGAACTTATTGATGATTGAGCAAAACAAAATATATTATTTAAAATTGCAATAAAAATTGCAATAAAATATTTCAATTTCATGATATATAATTTCTAAACTTCTGAAAACCTATGTAAAATATGGCTGAAACGCGAACCAGCCTGAGCTACGCCGTCTAAGATGTTTGTATCTATTAAATCTTCTTCTTCGGGGTTACCATAACCAAGTTGATCCGTTGTCTTTCTTAATCTATTTGATAAGAAAAGAGCCAAAGAATAGTAAAAATTTGCCCTAAAATCTGGATTTGAATTCATTCTTGAATAAATCAAATTTTTAGAAATCACAAAAACTGTTGAATTTACATTAGCAAAAACATTTACAGAAGGAGGTCTTGATTCTAAAAAAGACATTTCGCCAACAATTTCTCCGGCTCCTAATTTTGCTATTATATTTTTTTTGTCATCTCCCAAAACAGTAAATTGACCGTCTAAAACAATGTATAAATTATCAATAGACTTACCTTTTTCTATTAATTTTGTTCCTGCTTCAATTTCTATTTTATGCCCATTGAAGGTCATCCACTCAATGTCTCTATCATTCAGGTGACCAAGGAAAAAAAGTACTCTTTTCATAAATTTATGTATTTAAAATAATAATGCAATTTATCTTTTCTTTATTCTATATATCTGCCAACTTATATTATAAAATTGCCCAAAATCAAAAGGTTATAGATTTAGAAATTTTGAAAAATCTTCCTTATTCATATTAAAGGCTCCTCCAGTAACCTTTTCTAATTGATCTTTGTCCAATTCATAATCATTAACCTTATTAGGTTTAATAGGAATGTTTATATATAGAAAATTTGGATCAGATTGATCAGTAACTTTTATTATTCTTGTATCAGGAATGGCTG